CTTCAACGCGGTGCTGGACTTTTTTTTGCGCGGTGACAGCTCACTTCGTGGGGTTGATGGTTTCGGATGCTCCGGGGTTTTGCTGTTCATTCTCATGACCTCCCGCATTTCTTCTTCATCGTGAAGGATGGTGTATTTTGCTGTACGCGTCATGCCCTGGACCCTCAACGGGGAGGCCTGGTAGTGCCATTGGTTCTGTTACCTTGGCGGTAACCTTCTGTACTGGTCATGCCCTGGACCGTTAAACGGGATTTGGTCTGTGCTTATTCTGACATGATGGCGTTTTAGTCCTGACCGGCACTCAGGGGGCCACTGGATTTTTCGGCACACGGAGCTCACCTACGCATGCTTCGGAAGGCGTTTTGTTGTTCATTCTCGTGTCTTCCCGCCATATGTCATTATGGCAGATGGTGAATTCTGCTGTACGGGTCATGCCCTGGACCCTTAACGGGGAGGCCTGGTAGTACCATTTGTTCTGCGACGTTGGCGGTAACCTTCTGTACCGGTCATGCCCTGGACAGTTAAAGGTGATAGAGGCGTTCGCTCTTCTGATGGATTTTTGTCATTACGGGTCACGCCCTGGACCCTTAACGGGGAGGCCGGGTAGTGCCATTGGTTCTGTCTTTGGTGGTATTCTTCTGTACCGGTCACGCCCTGGACTGTTAAAGGTGATAGAGGCGTTCGCTTGTCTGATGGATTCTTTCTGTCAGTACGGGTCATGCCCTACACCCTTAACGGGGAGGCTTGGTAGAGCCATGGGGCAGTTGCTCGTAGTTGGTGACGCTCCCGTAAGTGTCTATGTACGGCGTTTGCATCACAGAAGACGGCCAGCGTCACGGGGAGGGTCTTCTCGGTCTTTCGCGGGGTTCGCTCTTGACTAGTTCGTTCTTGTACCTTTGCGATGCTTATGGGGTGGTTCTCGGCCCAGTCACAAGGTGTCCTTCGTCGTCATTGACCTCGGGTGAGGTCTGCGGAGGTTTGTGCCTCCCCTGCCGCTTCTGGTTAGCCTGGCTGACTGCAGCGCGCCGCCTCGTGTCCTCGAATCCTGCTCCCCGCAGGCTTGTGTTGTTTTTAGTCGTTCGATGAGCGCGTGCATGTTGCGGGCGGGCCCGCCGGACGGGATCCTGTTACTCAGCGAGCTTCCAGCGTCCGCCGGCAGGCGCTGCCTCAGAAGTATACTTTTCTGTATTTGGGTATATCTATGTCCTCCTTGTTTTCGTCCTCGCTCGCTTCCTTTCGCTCTCGTTCGTTTCGTTGGCTTCCTTCCTCCCTCTTCCCCTCTGGCTTGCCGCTGTGCGCTTTGTTTTGCATCCTCTTGGCGGCCGCTTGGGCTGCGTGAGGACATTCGCATTGCGCCGTCGTCCCTCTTCTTCCCGTTGCTCTTCCTCGTCTTCGCCTTGTCTTCTTCTTTCTTCCTCCTCCCCCCTCTTGCGCTTTGTGCGACACGCTGGCGTCCACCCAGCAATGCCTCTGTCCACCTAGCTGTTTTGGCGTTGACCCTGTAGGGTAATCCACAGGTGCCGCCTCAGCCGTTCTGTGCGGACTTTGTTGGCGCCGTCCGAGGCCCTGGGGACCCGCGGGCCACAGGATATCTCAAATGGCCAATAACAAATTCGACCCCGCTACCGAAATTTCAATCGGTCTCTACCTTCCGATCTCACCACGTCTCCACAAGCGACCTCACGATAATGTATGTATGTGTATCTGTGTATAAAAGTATCGGCCTCGCTGTCTATCCATCAACGGACAACCGCGCGACGAGTACGGGACAATCGCGTGACAACCACGGGCAACCACGCTGTAAGCACAGGGCAACCCGGGTCAACCATGCGACAACCGCGGGATGATCAGCGGGCCAACCACGGGAAAATTCGCGGGACACCCAAGGGAGCGCCACGGGACAACCACGGAACAACCACGGGATCCCCAGGACACCCGCGGGACAACCACGACAACCACGGGGCAGCCACGGGGCAGCAACGGAACAACCACAGGACATCCATATAATTATCTTCTCTACCGACCTCACTATCAATATATGCACCTCTCGCTCTCACTATCAATCGGTCTCGCTATCCGTCGATGCCGCATTGTCTTTACATCGATCTCATCATCTATCGGAGGCAGGGGGTTAGATCGGAGTGGAACGGAGAGTCCCACCCCTTTGGGAAATCCGTTTCGGTTTCGGGCTCGTGTCGTGCGTGCGGGCGAGGCGAAACTGCGTGGGCGGGCGAGAGGAATGCACCCTCCCCTGGCTGGGGCGCGGCGGGTGTCCCACGGTGTCCCGCGGTGTCTCGCCGTGGTGTCCCGATGCTGTCCTGGTGGTGTGTCGATGGTGTTCCGCGATGATTCGCCGTGGTGTCTCGATGGCGTCCCGCGGTGTCCCGTGATGTCCCGCGGTGTCCCGCGGTGTCCCGCCGCGGTGTCCCGAGGATGTCCCGTGGTGTCCCGTGAGATCGATAGTGAGATCGATAGTGGGATCGGTACTGAGATCGGTAATGAGATCGATCGTAATATCGATAGTGAGGCCGAGGCGATATCGATAGTGAGGTCGATCGTGAGATCAATAGTCACACCCATAGTGTGATCGATCGTGAGATCGACAGTGATGTTGATAGTGATAGCTATGTTGAGATCAACGGCCATATCGATAATGAAAGCAATCGTGAGATCGATATTTTGATCGATAGTTAGGGCGACAATGAGATCGATAATGGGATCTGTAGTGAGATCGATCATTTTATCGATAGTGAGGTCGATGGCGAGATCAATGGTGAGATCGATCGTCTGATCGATCGTGGGATCGATAGTGGGATTAATCGTGAGGTCGATCGTAATATCGATCGTGTGAAGGTAGTGATATCGATGGTAATGTCGACAGTCACATCGATACTGAGTGTGATAGTGAGGTCGACTGTGAGGTCGACTGGGATCGATTGTGGGATCGATCCAGAGATCGGAGGTGAAGGGGGTGAGATCGAAGTGGAACGGAGAGCCCCCCTACCGGGAAATCGATTTCGGTTTCGTGTTCGTGCGTGCCGTGCGCGCGGGCGAGGCGAAGCTGCGTGGGCGGGCGAGAGGAAAGTCTCCTGTGGCTGAGGCGCGGCCGGACCAAATGTGTCTCTTCCGGGCGGCCGGTGGCGCGCGGTGTCCCGCCGGTGTCCCGCTGGTGTCCCGTCGGTGTCCCTGTGGCTGAGGCGCGGCCGGACCAAATGTGTCTCTTCCGGGCGGCCGGTGGCGCGCGGTGTCCCGCCGGTGTCCCGCTGGTGTCCCGTCGGTGTCCCTGTGGCTGAGGCGCGGCCGGACCAAATGTGTCTCTTCCGGGCGGCCGGTGGCGCGCGGTGTCCCGCGGTGTCCCGCCGGTGTCCCGTCGGTGTCCCGTCGGTGTCCCGATGATGATGTGGATGATTATGATGATGATGGTGATGATGGTGATGATGATGGATGATGATGATGATGATGATGATGATGATGATGATGATGATGATGATGATGATGATGATGATGATGATGATGATGATGATGATGATGATGATGATGATGATGATGATGATGATGATGATGATGATGATGATGATGATGATGACGTCGATTGTGAGATCGATTGTGACATCGATAGTGAGACCGAATGTGAGATCGATTGTGAGATCGATAGTAGCGAGATCGATTGTGAGATCGATAGTCAGATCGATTGTGAGATGATGATGGTAATGATGATTATGATGATGATGGTGCCGAGTGAAAATTGCCGAGTGAAAATCGATAATGAGATCGATTGTGAGATCGATAGTGAGACCGAATGTGAAACCGAATGTGAGATCGATTGTGAGATCGATTGTGAGATCGATAGTGAGATCGATAGTGAGACCGAATGTGAGACCGAATGTGAGATCGACTGTGAGATCGATTGTGAGATCGATAGTGAGATCGACAGTGAGACCGAATGTGAAACCGAATGTGAGATCGATTGTGAGATCGATTGTGAGATCGATAGTGAGATCGATAGCGAGATCGATAGTGATATCGATAGTGAGATCGAATGTGAGATCGATTGTGAGATCGATTGTGAGATCGATTGAGTGAGACGTTGGTTCCCCCTCCCCCCTCACCTCCTTATCACCCGCAGGGTGGTAGTATAGGTAAATCATGAGATGGTTAATAAGATCGATTGTGAGACCGATAGTGAGATTAATGGTGCGATCGATACTCATATCGATAGTGAGATCGACAGTGAGATCGATGGTGAGACCGATAGCGATGTTGATTGAGAGAGACGGTGGTTTCTCCCCCCGAATCTCCTTATCAGCCGAAGGCTTGTCGTTCAAAAATGCTTGTAGACGGGACGACCACGGGACAAGCACAGGACAACAGCGGGTCAAGCACGCGACAGCCGTGGGATAACCAGCAGAATAACCACAGGACAAGCACGGGAAGCTTCGCGGAAGAACCACGGGACAGCCACGGGACAACCACGGTTCAACCACGAGACAACCACGGGACGCCCCCGAAGACACCCGCGGGACAACCGCGGGACACCCCCAGAGGGCAGCCACGGGACACAGCCGCGAGGCAACCGCGGGGGTCAACAGCAACACAGCCACACGAAAACCAGCCTCGGCACAGCCGTGGGAGCACCTCGCGCGCACGCCTGGGCGGGCGCGCGGGAGGGATTCCTTCTGTGGCTTGGTCTGTGCCTAGCCGGTGCAGGAAAGCTTGCGCAGCGTCGCCTCGCCCGCACGCTTTCGCCACGCACGGCACGAACCGACGTCGAAGCCGATGGCCTGGTTGGGGGCTCCGCCTCACTTCGGTCTCCCCCCCGCCCCTGGATGCAGGGAGGCAAGAGGAGGCACGGACGAGGGAGAGGGGGATGGCTGAAGAGGGGCGGGCGGGGAGCCGTGGGGAGGAAGGGACTGGCAGGAGGGGATGGGCGAAGGGAGTGGTTTCCAAGGGGGAGGGCTTGCAGAACGCAGCCTGGTGTCGCTGCCCGGCCTTCGAGCCAG